GAAGCTCCTCTTCTCCTTGATTTCTCTTGAATTCTCCTTGGCATATCTCCATATCCTTCTTTATATGTCCAATTATGAACCCCACATCTCTCCACTAGACTTGAATGCCCCTTAAATCAGTCAATTGACCTAGGGTTGACCTAGGGTTGACCCAGATGAAACCCTAGTTGACTGTCTTCAGCTATAGCTCTTGTGCTCTCATCAATGACTTGTCTCCTTCTCCAAATGGCTTTCTAAGTCTTCCAAGATGTCTAGATACTCCCCATGCCTTCAACTCACAGCTCACAACCCTCTTGTTGACCCTCAGATACCCTCAGCTAGGAGATGGACTCAAGGCTTGATCTGCTGAGCTCTTTGCTTTCAAATTCTTTCCTGATGACTTGAATAAGATTGAATTGGGATAATAACCTCTTGACAGGCTTCTAGAGATGAGAATAATGATTGGTACCCTGTTGAATGACTTGCTATGCTTATGCTATGCAGATGATTAGCCTATGTACATGACTCTATATGCAAATGCTAATGACATTGAAACATAAACCAAGTGAATAAAGTTGGGCAAATTTTAGGGTGCAACACTTATGACCCAAGAAATTATGGTACTTACAAAAACCTCTTTTCTTTCTATGTTCTAAATGAGGCACTTTAGAACCAGCAGGCATTATTATTTGTCCATCCTTAACTAACAAGTCAAATATTTCGTCACATTTAGTAACGTCGAAAGTGTATGTTCTTTTAGGAAATCTGTCATTAGACTCAATGGGATTTTTCCCATTTGAAGGAGCTAAGAGTTTACAGGCGTAAGGTGGACCCTGCTTTAATTCAGCAACGTCAACTTCATGCTCATCAAAGTAAAGTGTTTCATCATACAGATTTTTCACATGTTCGTTACATTCGACGAAAGCTACTTTTTTACCCTTGCTGAACCTAGTTTTCTCTTCTCTTAGTCTTTCTAGCCGTTGAACTCGGTCAGCTAGCTGCACCATATCTCTGAGATATTGGGTATTTAATTTTTTTCCTGATGGAATAATCTAGGCCCCCTGCGGCCATTTCGACTAGTTCATGCTCTGGCACTTGCATGAAGCACCTGACTTTAAGAAGTCGAAACCTATTCAGGTAATCATCAATTGGCTCAGTACCCTTACGTTTGATACTAGCCAATTCTTTCAAACTAATCTTGGTTTGCCCCATATAGAACTGTTCATGAAACAAACCCTCTAATTGGGCCCAATTATAAACTGAATTAGGAGGCAAAGTAGTGAACCATGTAAAAGCATTTTTTGTAAGAGAACTTAGGAAGTATTTGACCCTAAGGCTCTCGTCACCATCTATCTCTCCTGCTTCGATCATGTACCTAGCCACGTGTTCGACAGTTGATTCAGTAGTGTCCCCTGCAAACTTATTGAATTTCGGAATCTTCATCCTAGGAGGTAACTCAGCCTCCAAAATATAATCCACTATAGGTGAAGTATATTTTGGCCTTGTAAAGCCAAAGTTTGCTCCATTTCTGGTCATTATTCTTTCGACCATAGCTGCAAGGTTACTTTCTTTCGCTGCATCATGACGTCGAACTTGTCTAAGTATTTGGTCAGCATTCTGATTCCTGTTCACCATGACTATTCTTAGTTCTTCCTCTATATGGGTTGATACCTGATTCCTTTGTGGTTCGACTCTGAAAGGTTCGCCCATTTCATGATCCTCCATATTCGCTTCGTGAATGTTCTGTTGCTGATACCGTGGGACGTTCTCGACAACCGTTGTTATTTGCTCAAATGTTGGTACTCCCATGAAATCATCCATATGGGCTAATTGTGTCGCCACCTGCTGGTTGGTTTGACTAGTATTATGAATTAGAGGTTGAAAGAGTTCTCCCATCGTCTGAGACAATGTGTGGACCATTTGCATATTACTTTCATCCATTTGTTGTCTTAAGCAGTTTATAGATGTAGTTGTAAGACTAGGTGCTTGCCCAGAGTACCTAACACATATGCTCTGGTTATTTCGACCACCTGATCCAGATCCTTGTACTGGCGACGAGACCATGTTTTCTGAAAATATGGGTGGAGCATTCTGCAAATTCTGCATTATTGACGTAGGCATACCATATGGTTGGTTCCTTAATGGTTGTGAGAAACCTGGAGGAGGAATTTGCCTGTATATTGAACTTCCTAGGGGTGTTGGCAAATTAGGACTTTGAGGTCCTACATATTCCAACACAAGTTGAATGTACGTTCGTACACATGTCGATCCTGGATTCACCATGGACTGCACTTGTTAAGACACCACTACCGGTGGTGACGTCTGTCCTCCCATTGGAGAAACTGGATATGGAGTATTCTGAGACCCCATGCTCGACTGGTCATTTGAAATGATTCATTGAGGATCAACTTGTTGATTAGCATTTGTTGCCATTCTTTTAGTGTATCTTCTTTTTGGTACTTCTTCGTGTGTTGTGGCTAACTTTCCACTCCTTAATAACATATAACAAAGTATTCGCCCAAAAAAGATTAATGTAAACTTTGAACTGCTTAGCACTGGATCCCACCAGGTGTGACAATTTGTTTACTGTGAATTTTGGTAAACAGTCGCTGGTCTATCAATTTAGGGTAAAATTGACTAACTTGCAGGATCGACCATACTAAATCCTAGAACATGTGCTAAGTATGCAAAAAGATCCTAAGTTGAACTCCACATTCGACTGTGAAACCTTTTGGAAAGTAAGATAACTTGAAGATTAAAAGAAAGCAAGTAATGCATCGAAGAGTAAAAGCAAGAATGTAAAAGTGCAGTAATGTAAAAGCTTTTAAAAGTAAATGTTGTAAAGTAAAGGACGAGAGATTACAATCAAACTCCACGTTCGACTATAAAGTCTTTGTAAAGTAAATGGCATTGAAGATAAAGGTGCAAAAAAGTAAAGTTCTTTGAAAGTAAATGTGCAAAAGATTCTACTCTGAACTCCACGTTCGACTAGAGATCTTTGGAAGTTAAATTGCAGGAAGATAAATAGCTTTGAAAATAAATGGACAAAAGGTTAAAAGTGCAGAAAAGTTAAATGGCATAACAATAACTCTAATCTGAACTCCATGTTCGACTAGGGGATCTTTGAAGGTAAAAATGCAGAAGAAGCTTGTAAAACGGTTTAAGTGTAAAACCTGAAAGTTAAAGTGCAGAATAAGTAAAGGCGCATAAAGAGTAAAGGCAAGTAAATTGCATTAATGGAAAAGGGTTGGTGTTGTATCACATACATTCTCGCCAACTCGTTTCTCTATACGCGGGTACTTTGAGTTGTTTGGTTTGACTAGTATAAAATGAATAAACACCCTTATTACATAAAATGACAACTATTTATAGTACTAGAAAGTAACTACTAAATGACGGTTGAGGCTTCACAATGTGTCCCTTTTGGCATTTTTTCCACTATCTCAACCGTTCCCACGTTCGTCCACTCTTGGTTTGAATTTTGAACACTTAATATTTCCCTCCAATTTTGGTTGTAACTTCTGCGTGTTCTCTTCAGCGTGACCCTTGTCGAGCACTTTCCAACACTTAGCATTTTTTTAGTAGCTTTGTCCACCTCTCTTCGACTTGGATTGCTCCCTGATTGTATCTAAAAGCTCACATGTTTCAAATTGACATTTTGACTTGAGATGATTCTAAAATCAACTATCGTCGAAAATTGAGAGTTAAGACTTGGGAGCAAACCTTTGTCTTCCTGAAGAAAAGGATGTACTTGAACTTGAAGCATTCGTTGAGGGAGTCAAAGATTGGCTTGGTCAGTGGTTCTCTGAGGTTAGGAAATGGAAGGCTGAAGATGTTGATCCTGAGAGATTAACATGGCTTAGATGATAAGGTTTTCCTTGTCATGCTTGGTCAGTTCCGTTCTTTGTTTTCTTGTCTTCCATGGTAGGCAAGTATGTGTGTTGCGAAGATGTCTCTTCTGACCTATCTAAGATGGATATACCTAGCTTGATGGTTAGAACCACTTGTGATATGTTTATTAAGGGGGCATTTAAGGTTAACATCAATGGCGTTTTATTTAGAATCAGAGTGGTAGAAGAGACTCTTGGTCCATCATCTAGGGTGGTAAAGAAACCTAGTTCGTATGCGGCTGAGTCATCATGGGTAGACTTTATGTCCAAGGAGGAAGCCCTAGAGGAAGAAGACGATGGTGGGTGTCGAGGAAATGAGGTAGAAGGGTTAGCTTTTGAGACTTTTCGTGAAAAGGTCACTCCTGTCTCTAAGGAAGTCTGTGTGATGGAAAGGCTCTCAACAATTGTGTTACATTCTGAGGATTCTAATGTTATTGGAGTAGGGATAATGGATATTAGCCTTGGTGAGAAGGACGTGTCCTCCTCAGGTTTGCAAAAAAATTCTGACCCTAAGTCAAAGGTTGTGGTGGGACCCGATACGAATATTTTGCGTTTGGGCCAATTTTAGAGTATCAATTTCGATGAGTTAATTAAGGCCCATTCAACCCAACTTGTTGAGCCTCTAGTGGGCCATGGTAGCAAATCCAAGATGTTGAAGGGTAAATCCATATGTGTTGCGGTTACTCCTTCTGAGGATATTAGCAATAGCTCAAGGTCTTGTGGGTTTTTCTTTTCTTTAACTGATCCCAATCCATTTGTCCCTACAAATTCGTAAGTTGCTTCATCATCCCCTGCTGATAGCCAGAAGGTGTGCTACTTATCTTATCAAGTGTGTGGTAGTAGTAGAGTGTTATCTTTAGCTCAATCGAACGAGGTTTTCTCTAAAGAGATTCCTGAATAAGCTTCTGTTTTGAGGTGCCATTCGGTGATGGATTCGGAAGTTATTCAATAGAATAAGAGATTCTAGGCAGAAATGGAATCAAAGGTCTCCAAGAAGTTGTGGGAAATCATCACATCTTTGTGGATTTTTGGCGAAGGAAGCAACGAAGTTTTTGAGGAGGAAATTAGGAAGTTGGAACTTAGAGACAAAGAGAGGAAGGCTAAGAGGGAGTCTACTAATTTGGGTAATCTATGAATATCGTGTCGATTAATATTAAAAGGGGAGTATTGCTCGTGAAGAGGAAGCGGGTAGCTTCGATGATTCAGTTGGGCAAAGTGGACGTCTACTTTACCCAGGAGTCTAAGTTGCCAAAGTTGGACTCTAATCTTGCATCTTTGTTGTGGGGCGATTCTAATGTTGAATGGTCTAAGTTTGGTATAGTTGGTTCGACGGGAGCTATTTTTATTCTATGTAGGAAGGATCTCCTAAAGTTGTCTTGTAGCTTCAAGGGAGAAGGTTTTGTGGGGTTAAATGCAGAGTGGAAGGGGCGCGATTTATTTTTCGTCAATGTTTTTTCTTCGTGTGCGCTCATTATTAAAAGGAAGCTATGGCGGGATTTGGTTGCGACTAAGAATAACTTTGGTAGAGGGGACTGGTTAGTAGGAAATGGTTTTAACTCAGCCACGTGCAGTTCAGAGAGGAAAGGAGCTTCGGGTGAGGGCGTAGAGGGGAGATGCTGGAATTCAATGGCTTTTATTAGAGGTGGCAAAATGGATGGATTGGATGGATATGGATAGGATTGTTAATGGATGGACTAAAACAATCCATTAGTACATTAACAATCCACTAATTTTTTTTTTTAAATTATCCAATTCAATCCATCCATTAAGAATAAAATTCATCAAATCCATCCATTAACATATTTTTAATGGATGGATATCCATCCATCCAACTTATTTTTTATTTCGAAAAAATAAATGTATTTTTTTATTTTTAAAAAATTCATTTTTTGTATTTAAAATTTTTTTTTAATATATTCATGAAAAAAATTAAATTTTTTGTATTTTCAAGAAAAAAATTGATATTTTAATTTTTGAAAAATATCGATTTTTTTCGGGAAAAAATTGTTTTTTTGTTTCGTAAAAAAATCGTTTTTTTTCTAAAAACAAATCAGTTTTTTATTTTGGAAAAAAAAACAAATTTCTTTTTCGTTTTCGTTTTTTTCGAAAAGAAATTCAGTTTTTTTTTTTGAAAAAATTTCAATTCTTTTATTGGAAAAAAATAATTCTTTCCTTTTAAAAAATCTATTTTTAATTATTTTTAAAAAAATAAATCTAACGAAAATAAAAATAATTCATTGGATCCTTAAAATAGGTTGGATGGATCGAATTCATCCATGTATATAAATGGATGTATTTAATCCAATCCATTAACTTATTTTTTATGTGGTGGATGGATTAGATGAATTTTTTGATGGATGGATTGGATGGATTTGGCTTAATGGATCCAATTGCCCTGTGTGGGGAACCTTTCTCTTAGTTCAATGGTGTAGGTACAACGATAAGCAGACTTGATAGGTTCCTTTTTACTGAAGATTTTATTTTTGATTGGAAGATTGTAGTTTGGATTATCGGCAAGAGGGACTTATTATACCACTACCCTGTTTGGTTAAAGGCTTGTAATGCTTATTGGGGGTCCAAAACCCTTTAAGTTTAATAATGGTTGGTTGAAGCATCCAGAGTTTAAGAAGTTTGTGGATTTAGAATGGAAGTCCTTTGAGGTTATAGAGAGAGGCGACTTTGTCCGGAAAGAAAAACTCGAACTCCTGAAAATTAGTTTGAAAAGATGTAATATTGAGGTCTATGGTTGGTTAGACCTGAAGATCGAAGAGGGAGTGAATGAATTGAATTATTTGGACACTCAGACTGGAGGTGATAGTGGGAATGCAGGGGGTGAATTGGCTATTAGAAGGAAGGAAGCTTCTTCAAAGGTCTGGAACAACATTTGCCTTAAGGAAAGCTTGTTGAGGCATAAATCAAGAATTCTCTAATTGAAGAAGGGGGGCAAAAACTCTGGTTTCTTCCATAGGTCTATGAAGGCCAGGTTTCGTCGTAATCACATCTCTTTGTGAAATCTGTCAGAGGTAGGGTGGAGGAAGTGAGAGAAATCAAGAAAGAAGTCAAGGATTTTTTCTCTACTAATTTTCAAGAATATAATTGGGTCAGACCTGTCATTGATGGAACAGTATTTCCAAAGTTGTCAGCCTTTGATAGTTCTAGTTTGGAGGAGAATTTTTTTAAAGTGGATATTTGGGAAGCGGTTTGGAGATGCAATAGTGATAAGAGTTCGGGGACAGAAGGATTCAGTTTTAGCTTCTTGCAAGTATGTTGGGAAACAGACAAGGAGGGCATCATTCGCTTTGTTTTGGAATTCTACCACAACCCAACATTGATGAAGGCTACTATTGCTTCTTTTTTAACCCTCGTCCCTAAGCTCAACAATCCTCAGAATTTGAGCAACTACATGCCTATATGTTTGGTGAGTTGTTATCAAAAACTTCTATCCAAGATTCTGGCTGTGCGTTTAAAGAAGGTTTTCAGATTTATTATTTCAGTAGTACAATAAACTTTTATTCCAGGTAGGATTATGTCTGATGGGGTGGTGGTTGTAAGTGAATTATTGGATTAGCTAAGAGGACGAAGAAGGAGTGTATGGTTATTAAGATTGATTTCGAGAGGGCATAAGATTATGTCAGTTGGGATTTCTTGAGGCTATTATTTTCGTATATGTACTTTTGTGCCCAGTGGTATAAGTGCATGGAGGCGTTATTTTTCAAGGGAACCTCATCCGTTTTAGTCAATAGTAGTGCAACAATGGACTTCAAGGTGGGCAAGGAGACACATTTTCCCCCTTTTCTCTTAATTTTGGCTATGGAATTTCTCACTAGGATGATGAAGAAAGTTGTTGAGATGGGTTCTTTCAGAGGCTTCAAGTTAAACAAAGTAGTGTTCTTTAGTATTGTCTAATTTGTTGGCGAAACTCTCATCAACAGAGATAGATGTTGGGATAATCTTTGGTGCATCAAAGCATTGCTTAGGGGATTCGAAATGTTGTTGGTTCTTAGGGTTAATTTCTTTAAGATATATATAAATATATATATATATATATATATATATATATATATATATATATATATATATATATATATATATATATATATATATATATATATATATATATATATATATATATATATATATATATATATATATGGGTTAAATTTGAGAGTTGGCTTCTTTGAAACAACTTCTGTGTTTCTTCACTACAACATTGGTTCGACGCCATTCAAATTTTTGGGGATTTATGTGGGAGACAATTTGAAGAAATCGAAGGTGTGAACTCATATTTTAGACCAATTGAGAAATCGTCTAGCAAGATGGAGAGGGAAGTTGTTTTCTATCAAAGGTTGCATCATTCTCATCAATTTTTTGTTGAATGCACTTCCTGTTTTTAGTCTTTCTTTCTATAAGGCACCTTTGGTTATCCTAAAGGAAATAATTAAAGTTCAGAGCAATTTTATGTGGGGAGGGGGTACAAATGTCAAGAGAAACCATTGTGTTAGTTGGAGTAAGGCGTGTAGACCGAAAGAGGGATGGGGATTGGGAATTAAGGACATCATGGTTTTCAATAAGTCTCTTCTTCTCAAATAGAGGTGGAGGTTTCTTTGTTATAGGAATGCATTTTGGAGAGAGGTTTTAGAGTTTAGATACTTCGCATAGAGCCCAGATTTGGAGGCCTTTTGTGTAGAGGCAGGAAAGCGAAATTGATTTGGTGGAGAGTTTAGCTGCGTTGTGTCATGTTGATCAAATGCACATGGATCCTTTTGTGTCGAATATTGTATGTGGTTTGGGAAATGGTAGGGATATTCATTTTTGGAATTGTGTGTGGCTGGATAAGTTGATATTCAGATAGTTGTTTCCCAGACTGTTTATTGTGTCCTCCTAGCAGAACTTTAGTGTTGATGAAGCAGACAACTGGTGTGTCGATGGCTGCAAGTAGAACCTCGACTTTCCTGTGTTTGTTGCTAACTCGGAGCTGGCAAAGGAGTTAGAAGATCTGTTCCTCTTGCTACAAAACAGGAACCCAATTGTAGACAGGCTGAATAGATTTAAATGGAACGCAACTGAGTCGTCAACTTTTCTATTAGTTCTGCTTATTTTTCCTTGTTGCATTTGGTTGGTGAAGTTGATGAAGATTTTTCCAAGGCTTTATCAGAGTTGTAGAGAGTTAAAATACCTTTAAAGATCCATATTTTCCTTTAGAGACAGTTTCTGAATCGTTTGGCATCGAAAGATCAGCTGATAAAGAGAGGTTTAGCTTTTGGTGTAACTGATCCTCTATGTGTGTTTTGTTGTATTTGCAAAGAGGATGTAGTTCATTTGTTTCTCACTAATGTAGTTTCGGTGGAAGTTTAGAGGGGAGTCGAAAGGTGGGCGGGTTTTGATTTGAAGCTCAACTCTGAAGTCTTGGTATCTTTTATTGATTTCAGCTGTTCTTTGAGAAGGGCAGCAGGTAATTCGGATGGATTAGTCATTTGGGTTGTTGCAGTGTGGCAGTTATGGATAGGTAGAAATAATGTTATTTTTAGGAGAACCGATTTTTCGTTGGAAGATTATATTTGTGCTATCAAACTTTAAGCTTGGAGTTGGTTGGGGATTAATTCTAGAATCCCAAAATCTTGCTCCTTCTTTGGTTGGATCAATTGCCCTATAAATTGTTTGAGGAAGGGGTAGTTGCTTCGGTTTTTTTGTGTATAGATTTGAGTAATTGTTTGAGGAAGGGGTAGTTGCCTTGGTTTCTTTGTGTATGGGTTTGAGTACTCCTTGTACTCGCGTTTCTAATTTCATCGCCTTTTATAAAAAAACCATCTTTCTTTATATAAAAAATTGGCATTGCTCAAGATAAAAGCTCTCTTTAAATATATATAAAGTGAAGATGTTTTTGTCTCTTACGCGTATTATATTCATTGATATTGTACCTCAATGTGCTTTGATCTAGAATGGAATTTCAAATTTTGTTTAATCTTGATGAATTACACTTTAAGTTTCAAAGAATAGTAGAAACTTTTCTTATAGAAAAGTTAACTCTTGTAGGAATTTATTCATGCACAAAATTTCTTTAGACGCTTTAATCAACTTCATTAGTAGATAAAACAACACATTTTAGTAGCCTTGATTGTCAAATTATTCCTCCCTATGCAAAATTCATCATGTGCCCAAAGTAGATTTTTTTGGAATTAATATCACCGGTCATATTTGCATTTGTGTAGACATCTAACATAGGATCACCACTTTTAAAGCATAAGTACACATTTCTCTTTACTCAATTTGAAATGAGTAGTGACTACAAGTAGCGAGTGGAATACTCATGAAATTTTGAATTGTTCATGTTAAACATCTCTAACACCTTTCTAATGTTATGGTGTTAAGAAAACATAGTTTTTCATTCTTCCTAGCTTTATCAAATTACCAACATTCTATATACTTTGTCTTACTTTTATGTGAGAGATAAACATAAACTTCTAAGGCTCATCTCCAAGTCTACAACCTTTCATTTAATTTTTCCCTCAACTAATCAATTAAGGATATATCTTCAACAAAAAAATATACATTTTTGTGCTAGCTCTTGGATGTGGTACATAAGAGCATCCAACACTAAAGTTATATGGTAAAAGTTCAGGGTTGAACCTTGATGCAATCCTATTCTTATGAAAATATTTATACATATCTACACCATA